ACCAAAAGGCAAGTGCAGTTTCTTCACATGTCTCTGGGCTCCATGTGCCTCCTCCAGGTCTCCTTCTGGCTCCATCCTGGATCCTTCCTTCCTCAGTCTCCTCTGCAGCTTCTTTTCTTCCTGCTCAGCTCCACCCTCCATTTGGGTGGGGCAGGGAACCTGGAACCTCCCCCTTTCCTGGGGACCACCCTGTTACAATACTTGTTTTTCTTAGAGGCAAATTTAATGGCATGAGGTTTGTAACAGGGTGGTCCCCAGGAAAGGGGGAGGTTCCAGGTTTCCTGCCCCACCCAAGGGAGGGTGGAGCTGAGCAGGAAGAAAAGAAGCTGCAGAGGAGACAGAGGAAGGAAGCAGGATGGAGCCAGGAGACCTGGAGGAGGCGCATGGAGCCTAGAGACACGTGAAGAAACTGCGCTTGTCTTTTGGTCGTGGGCTGGGTGACACGGATGTGGGTGAGACCCGTGGGGAGGTGACCATGGCAGCTTTTATCTTGATGTTGATTTTGCTCTTTTCCTTCCAGGCTTGTCTGGTTGCTTCTGACCCTTTTCTGTGGGTCCCCACTGGAAGGTGCTTTAGACTTGGGGCAGGCTTTGGGGCCTTGCTCTGGGTCAATCCCATTTGGACGGCGTTTTACCCACGAGGGGAAGGGTAACTTTGGGTGCTTGATTTAGAAACTAGATTCTTTGCTTTTCCTGTATTGTTTCCAAATTGTATTAAAGTTCCTTCCCTTTAAAGTCTCATATGTTTTGTGTTGATGCTGCAAATGGCAGAACCCATTTAGAATAGGCAGGTTTGCGGGGTTTGGGCTGCCCCTCTCCCTGTCCTATAACAGATTCAGGAAACATTTCTTCAAGAATGACTCCAAGGAATATATTAAAAACTGCTAATTTGGCTCTTGCTCTTAAACAACTTTTGTTGAATTGACTCACAGCATTGAATATTTAGAAGTGACTTGAACTTTATGTCTGGCTGTCAATATTATTTCCTTTTTCTTTGGAATTCAGTAATTTTACCTGCCTCACAAGTGGTATTTATCAGAGTTTTCCTGGTACAGTGTTTTTTAATGTTCCTTTCACCCTTGGGAATTTTTCTGTTATTAAATGATGATACATTCCATTCTTTATTTTCATTTGCTTTCTTGGCAAATGCTGAAATCTGATTATGATTGGGTATTATATACCTGTCTTTCACATTGATATTTTTCCTCCAATATTTACTTTGAAATTTTTTGAAGTATAACATTTACAGAAAATAACAGAAATCGTGTTTATATCCATTGAGTTATCGAAGAGTTAACATCCACATTTTAATTCTTTTTAACATTTTTACTTAATTTCATTTGTCTTACTTTTCACATTCCCTGTCTCTTCCTGGGTTTTCCGCTTGATTTTCTTTTCCAAGGTGACTTTCCTCGCGGTGAGGCTTTCTTTTTTTCTTCCAACTCTTTTCTGAGTTCTGTCAGCTTTCAATTTTTAAAAAATAAAATGAAGACAATTTACATGATACAAACTTTCTTTAGTATTTGATAGCGTGGAGAGTTTTTGTTTTCAAGAATTCAGACAACTTTGATGCCAGGAAGAAAGCAGCAAGGTTTTGTACAAAATGAACAAGAAAGATAAAAATGAAAATGAACAAGGCGGTAGGGAAAGCATTCAAGCCTCTTGGTGACTGGGGCTTGGTCACTTGGAAGGCATGACTTCTGGGCAGCAATCCTTACAGGAAACTTGAATGTTAGGTCTGGGTTTTCTGATGCAGTCTCTCAGGAGGAGCACCACCTGGCTGAGGAAAGGTCATGGTTATGATAATTAAAGATCTTACAAACTGTATTGTTATTTCCCCATTTCTTTCTTAGGCTTATATCCGCATTGTTCTTTTGATGTATTGCATATATACAAGCAAGTGCTATATAAAAGTGTGTTATTATAGGAACTTTAAAAATCTTTAAAATCCATTGGCTATTATAAATTCACTCAATTAATTTGGAAATGTAGAAAGTTTTAAGTTTTGAAATTTATCCATTATATATATATATACTACAATATGTTTGTAGTAGAAGTCAGATCAGAAGTAGAGCTGTTTCTATATTTATTTTATTGAGATATAATTGATGTATAACATTGGTTTAATTTTTGGTGTGAACATCATTTGATATATGTATATTGTGAAAAATTATTACAGGGTTAGTTAACATTCATCAACACATAATTACAATTTTTTTCTTATGATGAGAACTCTTAAGATCTATTTTCTTAGCCATATTCAAATATACAATATAGTACTGTTAACTACAGTCGCCGTACTGGACATTACATCTTCAAATTCTGTGTAGCTCATAACTGAGGTCTGTACATGGCAACCTTCACTCATCTTCTCCCTCCGCTGACTGTCTCTGCAGCCGCCAGTTTGTTCTCTCTGAGTTCAGACTTCTACGATTTCACCCACAAGCTGCTCACACAATATTCCTCTTTCCCTTATTTCACTCCATGTTGTCAGATTGTAACAGGGTGGTCCCCAGGAAAGGGGCACATGACAGAATTTTGTGGGTTTTTTTGAGTAAGAGTTTAGTTTTAAGACTTCAGTATTCAGTTCTGCAATTTGAACAATGAACTTTTTAAATCTCTCACCATTGAAGATCTTGCTATTTTTATATTCTGTAACATCAGCAATCCTACCATTTCTCATCTTCATCATTTTTCTTTCTCCATCATTTCTAATTTTCATTCTTAGAACTTTCACTCTGCTTTTGCCTTAAGATCAGAGTTAGGCAGCATTCTGGTAATGATTAATGGTCTAGTAATTATGATTACAAAATTTTTCCCTGGCCCTGGTTTAACATTTTGTTGACTGCCTTGCCCATAATACCAAATTTGGAAATGTCTTCAATATTTATGGATACTGAAATTATTTGTAACTTTTTTCCCCACTCATCTATACCTCCTGATGTTAATAAAGGGCAACCCCCCCCGAAAAAATAATCCTAATGAATTTCCAAAAAGGAGTCTTTTCATGATTCTCTTGTTAAAAGGATGAGTAAAATTTGTATAAGACTTTATATAATTTGGGCCTCCCTGGTGGTGCAGCGGTTGAGCGCTGGGCTGCGCCTCTGCAGCGCCAGTTCGATCCCCGGCAGCCAGGCGAGGGTCCCACATGGCACGCAGACCTCTCCTGCCATGCCCACTGCTCCCCTCAGCAGTGTATTCCGTCAGTCTGCCTGTTCTGTTCCCCCCTCTGGCTCTGGTAAGTTCTCTCACCCTCCCGCATATCTGGCCTGTACCCAGTGCTTGTATAAATAAATAAATCTTTAAACAAGAACATTCTCATGTTAAAAAAAAAAAGACTATATAATTTATAAGAACCTTTATAATTAATGTAACCTCAAAACAAACCTTTGAGGTTAATCAGGATTATACCCACTGTACAAGTGAAGATAACTTAGGGGCCTCCCGGTGGCGCAAGGGATTAAGATGCAACCTATGAAGCTCACTGCAGCCACTGCAGCATGAGTTTGATCCCCTGCCAGGGAGATACCCACATGGTGCAGCAGACCTCTCCTGTTTCTCCTGCTGCTCCCCTCAGCAGTGTATTTCAATAGATCCACCTGTTGGCTCCCCACTCTGTCTCTGGTGAATCCTCTCACCCTCCACACCTCTGGCCTGTACCCAGTTCTTGTGTGCACAAATAAATAAATCTTTTTAAAAAAACCTCAAAACAAATGAAGGTAACTTAAATAATGGCCACTGTGTGCAATTATATTTCTTGCATCTAAATCGTCTTCCCTTCACATTATAGTTTTCCACCACCAGTAGGCAGGAACTCGGGATTATCATTATTTTTTCCTTTTCTATCGTTCCATGAGGTCAATTTGGAGTGGAAACGTTTCTGCTTTCACTGTCAATGTATCTGCAGGAAGGCCACGTTCACTCTGGTTTATCCTCCCCGCGTCTTCTCAAGTGTGAAGTATTCGTGCGGCCCGGCGCAGGCAGCCTGGGGAGGTGGTGTCTGTGCCGCACGGCAGGCCACACTGCAGGCCACACTGCAGGCCACACGGCCGGCCACACGGCACTGCAGGCCACACGGCACACGCAGGGCCACACGGCACTGCAGGCCACACGGCCGGCCACACGGCACTGCAGGCCACACGGCAGGCCACACGGCCGGCCACACGGCACTGCAGGCCACACTGCAGGCCACACTGCCGGCCACACGGCACTGCAGGCCACACGGCACTGCAGGCCACACTGCCGGCAGAGAGCCGCTCCGTGCCCGGAACACGTCACTGGGGGAGCGCGCGCGTGTTTGTGTGTCACGCTGGGGTGTGTGTGTGTGTCCGTGCCCATGAACCTCAAGCTCGGGCGGCGGCGCGGGCCTCCCCTGCCGCCCGTTCTGGTCTCCGCGCGCCCCGGGTGCCGGGCCCGCGCGGCGGCTGCTCCCCGGGCTCCTCCCCGGCCGCTGCCCGCGGAGGCGGCTCCCCCTCCTCGCCGGGCCTCCCCGCACCCCAGCGGCCCCGCCGGCCCCCCCCGCCCGCCCTCCGCACGCGCGTCCCCGCGGTCGCCCGAGACGCTCGGCCCGCAGCGCCCCAGGGCCGCCCCGCGCAGCCCCGTCCGGCCGCGCCCGTCGAGCCCCCGCCGTCCCGCGGCCTTCCCGGTGGCGCCGCCGCTTCCCCGGCGGACCCGGAAGGCGCCGCGCGCGCGGCGGGAGCGGCCGGGGGCGGGCCCCGCGGGCCGCGCATGCGGAGTGGCGGCGCCTCCGGGCTCGCCGCCTGCAGCCGGCGCGGCGGTTTGCGCTCCTGACAGCTCCGCGGCCCGCGGACGCGCCTCGCCCGTGCGTCCACGTTACCCTGTCGGGCCGGGGCGGGGCGGCGGCCGGCGCGGCCTATCAGCGCGGACCACGACCCCGGCGAGCCCGGCGGCGAGCGGCCCGGCGCGGCGGGATTGGGCGGCGGCGGGCGGGGGCGGGGCGTGCGCGGGCCCCGCCCCCGGGCCCAGCCGCGGCGCAGGCCCGAGCGGAGCCGACGGCCGGCGGCGCAGGCGGCCTGAGCGCGGCGGGGCTGCGGCCGCACCTTCTCGTCCCCGGCGCCCCGCGCTCGGACATGTTGGCCCCCGGCGCCGTGACCCGCCGGCTGGGCTCGGTGTTCCCCTTCCTACTGGTCCTGGTGGACCTGCAGTACGAAGGTGAGCTGCCCGCGGCGCGGCCGGACCGCGGCTCCCTCGGGCGCCGGGCGCGCGTCCGGGGCGGCCGGCCGGGCGGGGCGGCGGGAGCCCGGAACCCCGCGGCCCGGCCGGGGCCCGAGCCCGCCCCTGGGCGGCGGCCGCGCCGGGTTCCGGGTCGGGCCGGGAGCGGGCCGGGCCGGGCCGGGCCGGGCGGGGCGGGGGCAGCGCCCGGGCCGCGGAGACCCTCGCGGGGCGCGGGCCGGGGGCGGCGGCGCGCGGGGAGCTGCTTCCCCGGCGAGTCGGGGGCGGGAGGGCGGCGGGGCGGGCCGGGCCGGCGGGGGCTGGGGCGAGTCCCCCCGCTCCCCGCACCCCCCGGGTGAAGTTCGGTCGGGGCCGTGCGGCGCCGGGGCTGGAATCCGGGCTCCGGCGGGCGGCGCGGCGGCCTCGCACCCCCCGGCCGTGTCGCCCCATCGGGCCGCTCGCCCCGCGTCCCCGGGACGAGCGCGGGCCGGAGCCGAGCGCGGTGCGACCCGGACCGCGCGTGGAGGAGCCTCGCCGCGGGCCTGTCCCGCCCGGGCCGGCGGCCCCGGAGGTCACAGTAAACTACTGCAGATTTATTGCCAGACGCAGAGCGTGAGGAGCCCGAGTCGGGAGCCGTGTCCAGTAAAACCCCCTTGAAAGTGTCAACTTTAAAGGAGGGCCGTAGCCCCCGGTTTTTGGGTCGCATTGCTGGCAGGTTTCTTGGGGAAGGTTTGTGGGGAGCTTCCCCTGGTCACCATATTCTTTTGAATCAAGAAAAATCAGAACACGTGGACTGACAACATTGGAACAAAGAATCTGACAGGGACGTTGCCCCAGAAAATCTAGGGAATTGCAGTGTGAATCCCCGGACTAAGTCAATACGGGTTACGTATTCCTGTTCTGCATTTTCTGATGCCCGCAGAGCTCGTCCCTCACCTCCCCAGTGTAGCGCTACTGTCAAGTTACCGTTAATGGTTTTGACCACTTAAGGGAAAGTTCCTTATAATGTCGATTTTTTTTAAGTTACAAGGGTGCACTCTTTTGTATGAGTTACTTTTTCTATTAACTTGTGGATCACTTTTGTAGAACTGCTGTTCTGTATGTGAATTCTTTTTAAGGTTTATTTTCTTTATGCATACAAGAGCTGTGGTGCAGGCCAGAGGTTGGGGTGTCTGTGTGAGAGGATTCACCAGAGACAGAGCGGGGAATAGAACAGGCGGATCCACTTAAATCCACTGCTGATGGGAGCAGCAGGCTAGACAGGAGAGGTCTGCCAGGCCCTGTGGGTAACTCCCTGGCCAGCCGGGGATAGAACTTAGGCCACAATGGCTGGTGATAGCTTGACAGTGCTGAGACTAACCCCTGTGCCACCAGGAAGGCCCTCTGTATGTGATTCTATGGGACTTAACAGTTTTTCCCCTGCTGTGGTATTTTCCATAAGAAAAATCCCATTAAACAGCTTTCTGTATAGGAGACCACGGTGACACTTCTCAGGAGTGCCTGTGTAAAGTAGCAGCAGCTCAGTATAGATGGTAGGAAAAGGTCTTAAATTTATTCAAGGTCTTCTGTGTGCCAGGCATTGTTCTGTAAGCTGTATCTTATTTATGGAGGTATGTGATAGTATCCCTACTTTACAAAAGTGGGAACTGAGGCTTCAAGAGTTTGAATTAATTTGGGTAAGGTCACATGACTGTTAATGCTAAGAGCCATGAGTTGAACTCAAGTTATTGGACTCTAAAGTTCATCTTATGTGCAGGCTGGAGACAGAAGTGGTTGAGAGCATCAAACATTTGTGAGTCGTGACAGCTGAGAAAAATTAGAATTTTTTGCTGCTTTTCCACCCACAGTTCAAACTTCTTATGCACCAGACTCTCACATGGAGGGAGGGCTTTTTGAAACAGTGTTGTGCTCTACTCTCAGAGTTTCTCATTCAGTAGATTTTGGTTGGGAACTTTTGCATTTCTGAAAAGGATTTTTACATAATAAATTATATAAAGGAGTGAAGTTAGATGTTTGCTCTATCCCAGACACTAAATTTGTTGATGGGGATATAAAAGTAAGAAATAACCTCTGACTTAATGAGCAAACTATTGTCTCCTGTTTTCCGCAAGAAAATTCAGTGTCCAGGTTACCTGGCCTCCAGTTTGTCCTAGAAGAATTTCACCTCTGCAGGATTCCACTGCTAAACCTGAGGCCCGGGAGAGAGAGAAAGGGAATGGGAGTTAGCAGAGTGTATGTCAAGTGAAGCACATGGCTAACTACTGATGGAGAGGGCCACAATAATTAGCTTAGTTGGCCTAGTTTTTTCTGATTTAAAAATACTAATCTTTGGGTTTTTTTTTTCTTAAGTCTGTTTAAAAAAAAAAGGTTAATATAATCCAGAGAAAGAAACTATGTAATAGGCTCATGGATTGAAAATATCCCCTTTCAAAAAGTCCTTTGAAAGAGCGGAGTCCAAAGAACTAGATTAGGAATAGAATTTTTGGAGTAGAAAGAAAGCTTGAATAGTATCTACTTTAGTGTTCTCATATTACAGATAAGGAAGCTGTTTTAATTCTTTGCTAATGGCTTGTTCTATTTGGTGACTTAAGAACACAGCATGGAAACCTAATCTTTTATCTCTGTTGCTTCCTTAACATGCAATCTGGACTCAATTTTTCTTTATTTCACTAAGTTGACTGACTAAACCATATATTTTGACCATACGGAAAAGAATAGTTAAAAATACACAAGTATTAAAAGATGGTGGTAATTTTTATATGACTCTAACCTATATTAAGGTGTATGTTTTGTCTTCTCCAGGATTTTCTTGATGTTATTTAAATATGGAAAGAATAACGTAGTAAAGATGAATGACTTTTAGTAATTTATATAAAAAAATTCTACTGGATGGTCAGATGCTTCAAGAATTATTTTAAATATTTTAATAAAATAGGCTGCAGTTAGCAGTAGCATCAACGTTTCAGTTCATTTGAATGGTTAGTATTTGCTGAGTGAGTTGCCTGGAAAGTGCACTAGTCTTGGTGTTGTGGGACAGCTGGAGTTGTCAACATTTCAACCAAAGATTTTCTTTTCAGATCTTTGGAAAACTGCATTTAAAAAAAGAAAAGTCATCTGATGAGTTTGTGTCATTTGGAGTTCCAGAATATAGAGAAGACTCAGTCAGCAGAGACGTAAACCGCTGTGTTCCTCGGTGCAGGGTACACAGCATAGAATACAGGGCTCTTGCTTTGCCTTTGCAGACCACTTGGTGGTGTACGATCTGTAGTTGGGAAGCACCCGTGTCCTCTTTCCTTCTTTTCCCGTTAACACTGGTGGTCGACTTTGTAGTCATTCCATGGCAAACACTCTTCATTTCCTTGGCCCTGTTTTCTTTCATTTTACCTCATTTGGCAAAATTCAACACTGATTAAATCCAGCTTTTTTGGTGGCACTTCAGACCGGAACATAAATGAAAAAGGGAGGTAACCTTGCTCACTGTCCTCATTTTGTTTGTAATCTCAATTCCCAGTGTACACGACATGCGCTAGGCATTCCCACAGTTCCCTAGTGTTTGTTTTTGAAAATCAGTATTTTGTATTTTTTTCTAAATCTCCAATCCCCTTTTTCTCTCTCACTTTACCTCCCTTTTAGAGCATGTCTTTCACCTTATATTAAAATGGGTCTGCATCTCTGTTCCTGGTAAAATCTAGTCTGTAAACTTGGGTCCTGGATACCATTTCCTTTCACTTTCTGAAAATACCGCTTCTGCACTTGCTGTTTCTCTCAGGTGCCACGCTTCCTCCCTGTGCTGGGCCATTGCATCAGCTCCAGCAAGCTGTAGTGTTTCCACCTTAAACTGTGCTCTCATATCAGGTGACCCTTGAGCTACTGAACTGCATCCTTGCTTCTCTTGACAGCAGACCTTTAAGAGTTGGTGGTAGTCTCCATTTCTTTATCTTCTCAACTTACTACTCCTCTGTACTGCAAATTCTTTCATATCTGACACCTACTTACTTAACACCTTTTTCATCTTAATCTTCCCCTCCATCACTAAGCTCTAACTACGTCAGCTTCTTTTACTTCCAGATGCCAAGTTCATGTCTGACTAAGGATCTTTGTTTTTCCTGTTCCCAGAGTCTGGAAAATTCTTCTGAGATCTTCAAATGAGAATTGTTTGAGAGTTACCTCCCCTGACACATTACATAAAAAGTACTCTCTTCTACCCTCAGTACGCTCCCTTTACTTACTTGCATTTTCTTCATAAAACTTAATGAATTAGTGAAATTTCATAAAACTTAGTGAACTAACTCATTTGTCTTGTCTGTCTGTTCCTTCTACAATGTCTTAACAAAAGCATTCTTGTTACTGAAAAACATGTTGACATGAAGTAGATGTGCAATAAATATTTTTAAAATGGATAAGTTAACTCTTTGAGCTGGTTTTTTGCATGGGCTTTACTAAAACTATTTTCCGCATTTTTGTGTTTAAGGTAAAACAGGTACTGTGCAGTGAAATCAGGCAGACTTGGTTACAGCAGATTTTATTTTCCTAGTTCTCCTCAGAAGATTTTGGTGCCCACATTGGTCAGATGTTCTGAAGCGATTGCAGCCTTTTCTTCCTTTCAGTTTGGCTCTATAGATGAAACCACAGCTTAAGTCAGGTTGATGAGCAAGAGATGCTTACAAGGCCTATGTTTCTCGGTTCAGTGTGTTTTTGTGGAAGCTGTTTTGTCGTTAGTCCTTGCTCAACTGTGGAATTGCTAAGATAATGAACTTCTGCCCTGTCTTTCTGTGCACATTCCACTGTTTTCTGTTTCTACCATGAGAATTCTTTCAGCCCCATCTTGGTTGGATCTTTTCAGACATTGTGGTTTTGTTTCATTTTGTTTTTTGCTTGTGTTCCTTTCTAGAATGATCTCAGGGATTTCCTCTAAATGCTTCAACCTGAATGCCACCAGTGGGTTTGCTACTAGGTCTGTCACCTGGTCTTACCTTGACCTTAATAGCTGTACCATTTTT